TAGGGGTTGGGGGTCCCACATGGGGAACATTGGCTGCTGCTGCTTCAAGACTGCTGTCTCTTACGAGAGGGGCAAGTAAAGATGCCATGAAGTTTTCCTGATGTCTTTTTTTTTTTTTTTTTTGGCGGCACGCGGGCCTCTCACTGCTGGGGCCTCTCCCTTTGGGGAGCACGGGCTCAGCGGCCATGGCTCACGGGCCCAGCCGCTCCGCGGCATGTGGGATCCTCCCGGACTGGGGCACGAACCCGCGTCCCCTGCACCGGCAGGCGGACTCTCAACCACTGCGCCACCAGGGAAGCCCTCCTGATGTCTTTTAAGTTGCCTTTTTCTTGATTCCATGTGGTTACTGCAAACCTTTGTTTTCCAGAGTTTTGACAAAGTTGGTTCTGACACTTTTTTGCTTGTTTTTTAATTTTCATTTTTGGGGTGGTAGTGGGAGAGAAGCTAAGGGCTGGGAGCTGCCTACTCTGTCATTTTGCTAATGCCATTGTGGGGTGAATTTCTTATCACCTGAAATATTTTCTCATTTTCTATTGTTCTCAAAGAAGCTTTGAATGGATGCACACTGTTTTCATCTATTTAAGGACAGTGTTGGAGGTTGTGGTGACTTGCACGATTCTTGGCTCAAGAGCCCCCTCTTTTGTCAGTGAGGCAAACTGCAGTTCCCTTAATGGAGACTTTCTTTTGGCACTGTGGAGGGACCACTTGTGTGTGCTCTGACTTGTTTTAGTTTGTTTAGGTCATTTTTTGTCTCACATGACCTTCAGTTTCCCCCTCTAGCTTTTCCCCTTTACAACCCAATCTCTACCTGGTTCTTCCTCATTCCTTTTGATCATCTGCTCCCTTGGAGGTGATGCTTTTTTGTGACTGCCACCTTGGGTCCCATATACCTTTCTTATAGCTGATGCTGTGATTGATCTAGCCCATTCTTCAGTGTTTTTATTCTTATGGTAGATTTTCTCTTTCTAAGCTTTGATTTCCACTCATTCTTAGGTTCTCTGCTCCCCTCTATGTTCTCTTGACTGTTTTCTTCATACCCTTCTCACACTCCAGAAAGGTTTGTGGCAGTAATTTGAAAGTCAGCTGAGCTGGAATTTGGTATTTGTTTTTCAATTATAGGTAATTAGAAATGTGTATAGTACTCTCTATTTTCTATTATAAGTTATACTGAAGGTATAGGTTATGTGTAGTTTTATTTGTTCTTCATATTGATCTGTATAGTTGTTTGGAGGATATGTGAAGAGATTTGGATTTAACTACTTCACCTTTAACAGGTGAAGTTATTCTCAGTTACATGGAGGATCCTTAATTTTTTTAATAAAAAAATTATGAGAGAGAAGGGCATACTGTACGGTAATAAAATTCTTTGAAAGCAAAGTTATAAAATAGTAGGAAAACTAACACTTTATTAATTTTATATAAATATCACCATATGCCTATGTAAGGATAGAATAGTATCTACATATATTTTATGCTTTCATGACATTCCTAAATTTTTCTTAATATTTTCAATATTTCTAGGCTATGCAATTCATCTGTGAGTTTGTTCAAATTGTTGCAAATCTCCAAAAATTTTTCCAGTATATTTACTGAAAGAAATCTGCATATAAGTGGACCCATGTCGTTCAAATCTGTGTTGTCAGATTGTCAATCTGTGTTGTCAAGGGTCAACTGTATTTCCCCTTTGTAGTCAACCGCTGGCCGCACCCTGGCCCCTCGTAATCACTGATATATTTTTGGTCTCTGTAGTTTTGCCTTTCTCATGTTATATAAATGGAATAGTACAGTATGTAGCTTGTTGAGTCTGGCTTCTTTCACTTAGGGTAATACATTTGAGCTTCACCCATGTTGTTGCATGTATCATTAGTTCTTTCAGTTTTCTTGTTGACTAGTATTACATTGTATAGATTACAGTTTGTTTTTCACTCACTGGTTGAAAAACATTTGAGTTGTTTCCATATTTTGGTGATTACAAATATACCTGCTATATAAATGTTCATGTACAGGTTTTTGGGTTTACATAAGTTTTCTTTCCACTTGGGTAAATATACCTGTGAGTGGGATTGCAGGTCCTATGGGAGTATATGCTTAACTTCATAAGAAACTAGAAAACTGTCCCAAAGTGGCTGCTCCATTTGCATCCCTATCGATGATAAATGAGACTTCCAGTTGTTCCACATCACCAGCACTTGGCATTGTCAGTTTCTTTTCCCATTCTAATATGTATGTAGTGGTAGCTCATTGTGGTTTTGATTTGTAGTTTCCTCATGGCTAATGATGTTGAGCATCTTTGTATGTGCTTATTTCCCATTAATGTATCTTTGGTAAAGTATGTCTCTTTTGCTTTTTTTTTTTTTTTTCGGTTTTGAGAGTTCTAGTTCTTATGTATTCTCAATACAGCTTCTTTGTTGGGTATATTATTTGTAAATATTTTCTCCCGTTCCATGGCTTTTTATTCTTTTAACAGTGTCTTTTTTTTTTTTTTTGTGGTACGCGGGCCTCTCACTGTTGTGGCCTCCCCCGTTGCGGAGCACAGGCTCTGGACGAACAGGCTCAGTGGCCATGGCTCATGGGCCCAGCCGCTCCACGGCATGTGGGATCTTCCCAGAGCGGGGCACGAACCCGTGTCCCCTGCCTTGGTAGGAGGACTCTCAACCACTGCGCCACCAGGGAAGGCCCTAACAGTGTCTTTTGAATTTTGGTGTCACATCAAAGAAACACTTGGCAAACCTAAGGTTAAAAAGATTTTCTCTTGGGCTTCCCTGGTGGCGCAGTGGTTGAGAGTCCGCCTGCCGATGCAGGGGACACGGGTTCGTGCCCCGGTCCGGGAGGATCCCACATGCCGCGGAACGGCTGGGCCCGGGAGCCATGGCTGCTGGGCCTGCGCGTCCGGAGCCTGTGCTCCGCAATGGGAGAGGCCACAACAGTGAGAGGCCCGCGTACCGCCAAAAAAAAAAAAGATTTTCTCTTATATTTTCTTCTAAAAGTTTTATAGGTTTAGATTTTACATGTAGGTCTGTGATCCATTTTGAGTTAATTTTTGTATATGTTGGAGGTATGGATTGAAGTTCTTTTTTTATTTTTATTTTTTGGCATATGGATATCCAATTGTTCCAACACCATTTGTTGAAATGGGAACTCCCATTTTCCATCAAAGTGCCTTTGCATTTGTCAAAAATAATTTTAAGTATAAAGATATAAAGTACCTTTAATTATAACATACATGAAGTACAGTTTATAAGTGTACAGCTTGATGAATTATCACAAAGTGGACACACTGTGGAGCCACCCCCAGGTCAAGGTGAAGATTATAACATAAATCACGACCTAAATCCCCTTTCATGCCCTCTTTCAATCAATATCAGCCTCAAAGGTAATCTCTCTCCTAACTTCTGACATCATGGGTTAGGCTTGCCTGTTCTCTTACTGTATATAAATAGAATTATGCAGTATGTGCTCTTTTGTGGCTGGATTCTTTTGCTCATTAGTACAATTGTGACATTTATCTATGTTGGATATGCAGCTGTAGTTCATTCCTTTTCATTACCACATAGTATTCCTTTGAAAGATTGTGCCACAATTTACCTACTGTATTTTTGAGGGACATTTGGATTTTTCCCACAACTTAGTATTAGAAATAGTGCTTCTGTGAACATCCTAGTACTTGCTTTCTAGAGCACATGTGCATGATTTTCTCTAAAGTGTGCACCTAAGAGTAGAATTTCTGGGTCATAGTGTTTACAAATCATTAACTTTAGTAAATAATGCCAAACTGTTTTCCCAAGCAGTTATACCAGTTTTTAACATTCCTACTAACAGCGTGTGCGAGTTCCCATTTCAACACAATCTTATGGCATTTTATTTATTTATTTATTTATTTATTTATTTATTTATTTTTGCGGTGCGCGGGCCTCTCACTGTTGTGGCCTCTCCCATTGTGGAGCACAGGCTCTGGACGCGCAGGCTCAGAGGCCATGGTTCACGGGCCCAGCTGCTCCACGGCATGTGGGATCTTCCCGGACCAGGGCACGAACCCGTGTCCCCTGCATCGGCAGGTGGACTCTCAACCACTGCACCACCAGGGAAGCCACATCTTATGGCATTTTAGTCATATAATTATAATGTTTCTAGCGGGTGCCAAGTGGTGTCTCAGTGTGGCTTAAATTTTCATTTACCTGAGTGCTAACAGGGTTGGGTATATTTTCTTATGTTCATAGAACATATGTCCATATGTTTATTTTTTGTTTTTAGTGAAGTATCTATTCACATCTCTTTTCTATTTTCCTGCATTGTTTGTATGTGTCTTTTGATTTGTAGGGGTTATTTTATATGTTCCAGATCAGAACGCTTTATCACTTATGAAAGCTGCCGACAATCTCCCCATCTATAGGTTGCCTTTACTGCTGTATTTTTAATCTTGTAACATGTATGTCTTTTCCTTTATAAGTAGT